AAGTAGCAATATTTTGATCAATAGTGATCTGATTAGTCTCAATTTTAGTATTTAATTCATTACGGATTTCTTGAGATTTAATTTCGATCTTTTTGTCAACATTCATTTCAATAGTATTTATTTTGAGTGAGTGTTCAGATAAGGTATTGTGGATAGCTTCAATTTCAGACTTTACGGTTTGAACATCTGATTTGAGATTAGTTATTTCGTGAGAAATAGCATTTACGTTATTTTCTATGGATTTAATATCCTTTTGAAGGTCATCTCGCATCAAACTAATATTTTGGTTGAGTTCATTTTTGAGATCATTTAAGCGTATATCACTGTCTTGTTTGATTGTGTTCATATTTTGGTTTACTAGATTTATGTCTTGTTTCAGTTCACGAAACAAATATGTAATTTGTGTTAGGATGTTTGAATCATTAGTGTTGCCGATCGGCTGGTGTGACTCATTCATTGGATTGGTCAGTGAGCCAGTTTTGTTTGGTTCATTCAACTGCAGATCAGCTGTTTCGTCATTCTGGTCGATTGGAGTAGTACACATTTTGTCACGAGACGTCATACTGCCTTTTTCTGTCTGAAGAAGATCCAGATCCGCCATCTTGATCTTAGGATTAGAACCTACACTGTCGTTAACCTCAATAACGTCTGTTTCTAATGGATTTCTATCGCTTTCCAGACCATGAGAAATAATTGATTCTGGGATTCCTCCAAATAAAATATGATGATAATTGTTACTTGTTTCAACATTATTTGTAGTGTCTATAGTTACTAGTGTATTTGAATGTGTTTCGTTGGTTAGAGTTGCTTGACTAGAATGTACGGTGTTGCTTACGGCATCTTGGTTGCTAGTATCATTGTTGGTTGTGGTAGACCTATTTCTTAAATTATATGCTTTATCTTCCATAATATCGTATAATAGTGATCAATAATAATAGTTCAATATATGGATGAGGTGTAGTGAATGATATATGGTTATGGATGTGCACACAAGGTTAGTTATTCTTATGCTTAGAATTTAGGTTGTCATAACTTAGGCCTATTACATCGAGATAGGTTTGGAAGTTATTTTGTATTGGATAATATCACATAAGCTACTTTTTTTGCCACACGTTGCAGGCGCCAATGTAAAGTTCTTTTATCTTTGTTTGGTAAATAAGTAATAAATAAATGTCCAGGTATTACAATGATGAATACATATAAACCTTTTATTAGTCAAATTGTACAAATAAGTAGGGTTATAAATTTAGATGAAACTCTTAATCTCAGGGTTCTAGGAATGTGCCGGCTTAAAGTAGGCTTATGTGATGTTATATAGGCATAAGCCTAATGTTCATCACAAGTTATGTACAGTTCAATTTACACTTTTGAAAGAAGAAAGTTCAAATTTTGAATTTAGTAAAATTATAATTTAGGTAAAAGTTCAAAACGGCAAAAGCCAATAGAAATTTTGGAATGTGAGTATTTAGCAAAGTACAAGTTCAGTTTAGTCTCACCCAAAAGTTTATGGTAGTCTTCTCCACAAATATATTTCTTGAGGTAAAATGATATGTATTAAATAATTGAGAAAAATCTTGATATTTTAAATACTGTAAAGTTAAATCACCAATTAAAAGTTTTAAATAATCTTCCTGTCTTGCTTCTTCATTACTTATTCTCAATTGAAAAATCTTGATTCTTGATGTTCAATTTCATACATCTGTTTCAACAATTAGTTCACTGGTTTCTTGATGTCACTATTCACTGTTACTTTTATGATTGGTTGGTATTATATGAAGAGTATTTTAATTACATTTTTGAAAGTGAAAGAGAAGAATAATTTTGTAAAATAATTCAAACTGTATAAATAACTTCCAGTGATTATAAATTTAGCTTAGTAAATAAATGACAGTGTTTGATGAGAATGTGAAATATGGAAATTTACAATAGGTGGAACCTTTTGCCCTTTTACTGCATGTAAACACATGTGATAATTTAGAGGTATGAATTTAGCTAATAGTAGGCCTAGGAATATACAAATTCAAAAGTAAACAATGAGGATAATTTTGGAACATCTCAAACTTTACCTTCCTAAACTAACCTAACTTCAAGACACTTAATAATGTCACAAATCCAATTGCGTATGAAGTAGATTATAAACAGCTGTTAGCTATGCACAGTCCACATATGGACTCATCCAAACCACCATATTACCATCCATGCCGCTCAATGGACCTTAAAATTGTAATTTTTACTTTGTTTTACAGCCACTTAGGAGTTTTTCCGACAAAACCTGATTGTATTTTTTATCCTCCGACAGATTGTAACGAAACTTTCCGGCATTATTAAGCACTATTTAAGGATGGTTTGTGTGAAGTTTTGTGTAGATCCGTCAAAAGGGCTCCGCCCCAGTGGCTCTGGAGTTTCCCATGTTAACCTTATGAGTACTCATATTCAAATGGAATTAAAGAATCTTAACAGCTGTTTTAACCAAACAATTTGATTCTGTGATGATCAATAGCATCAAAAGGTTACAAAATGTACCAACAGGGTGCAGCACTATTAGTTGTCTAAATTTGACAACAGTTGCTAATTTCAACCAAACAGCTGTGATACAAAATTACAGTTAGTTATTAATTAACTGTCAAATTAGGGACATAATAATACAATAACCGCAAATAAGTGTAAACTATACAGTGTTTGTTTGTGTTGTGAAACAATATGTAGGCTAATCTATATCTATAAAAGAGGAACTATGTATGTATGTATATATATGTGTATATACGTTATGGACTCCGAAACCGCTCGACAGATTGTAATGAAACTTTCAGGCATTATTAAGCATCTTTCAAGGATGGTTCGAGTGAAGTTTGATGCAGATCCGTCAAAAGGGCTCTGCCCCAGAGGGTTTTAAGTGGGCCAATGTCAGACTTTTTGATCTAGAATGTTTACAAATAAATATAATTTAAAAGCAGATGTTTACTTTCACCAACTGTTTTGTACGTTTGAATAACTACAACATTCTGTATTAGCATTAGTCATGATTTGAAATAGTGCCACAGTGTTTCTACAGATTGCAGCACAGAAAACTATTTTACTTTTGAATAAGTCCAAATGTATTAAACCCCAATCGCAGCACACCTGTGCACTTAACAACGTTTAAATTCTCCAATGTTAAATATTAAAACATAAAAACCTTTATAAAAGTACTGTATTATAAACAATAAAAGGGATGACTTTTTTAAATGTATGATAACAGCTAATTTGCAACCAAAAGGTGAGTGAGCGTAGCGAACGAACATCAACCTGGAGGCGAGTAAGCGTAGCGAACGAGCTAACCTGAAAACAAGTGAGCGCAGCGAACGATTTCCAACCTGAAGGTGAGTGAGCGTAGCGAACGAACTTCAACCAGGACGTGATTGAGCCATGCGAATACTTATGAAGTTAAGCGGGGCAAAGCCCGCGGGTACAGCTAGTATATGTATAAACTAATGATGATATGTACATATTTGTAAAGCTAATGAAGTAAGGAATCCAAAAAAGTCATAAGTATGATGGTAAACAGTTATTTTCACCTATGATTATGTATAAATTTGAGAACGTTTTGAATTTTTTGCGCATTTCGAGAAAATGGAGTGTACAGTATTTAGTATATAACTTTTTTACCAAATTTTTTACACCCAAACCAATATAAAAATGTTGTAGTGTATTCATTTACCTTTATAAAAATGTATAACACCTTGGGTAAATCATTATATAGCATATATAGCACGGCGAACTAAGGTCCGTCTCGTACAACAATCTCTGAATGTCAGAATCGTCATTTTTGGACATGATGCTAACTAAATACAGTATTTAGTATAGGCAATAACTTTTTTACCAAATTTTTTACCCCCAAACCAATATAAACATGTTGTAGTGTATTCATTTACCTTTATAAAAATGTATAACACCTTGGGTATATCATTATATAGCACGGCGAACTAAGGTCCGTCTCGTACAACAATCTCTGAATGTCAGAATCGTCATTTTTGGACATGATGCTAACAAAATACAAACTTTTATGAACACTATTTCACACAATTCAGTAATATTTATGCATAATAAAATGCATGAAGATTACTGTTATACACACACACAAACTTCACTAACACTACAAACTAATAACGTATTTAGTAATAAATCGTGGATAACACGAGAGCGAACACTCACCGGAAACAACACACAATGGCGAATACACAAGACAGCTATACCAGTAATGACTCACTTCCGTCGTCTTCATGTGAGCAGACGTAAATAACCCTGAGCGCAAGGATGCCACTCTCACAATCTATATTTCTTCCTCTTCAATACGACATATTATATGACTAGTAATAATAACTTACACTGTATGTAATTCGTATTTTCCATACCGTCACCTGACGACGGTTGGCCATTTGTTAAAAATTTCGAAAACAGCTGTTTTCATAAAATCGTACTGGTTGTCAAATCAATATTTAGTTCTAAATATCACTACCACAATGAAGATAAAATCAATGGCTATCCAGTGGTACCACCCGCAACATCCCAAGACGAAAATTACCCGAGCAGGGTAATGACAACGTAATGACAATGAGACGTGTTTTGCCAGTTCCCAAGTGTCGGCTGCAAAAGTTGTGCTGCGCCAAAAATTCATTTGATTTCTAATCGTCCTGACATTGTTATATACCTGCTACAGGGTTTGTTTATGTAATAAAATTAAAGTTCAGAATGTGATCTTTCGAATGGTATATATATTATTCTCATCTGAGTTGATTATAAGTGTTTTTTTTTACCGTTAAAATAATTTCGGCCCATACCGTCACCAGACGACGGTGGCCATTCTAAGCATCAACGTCAAACCGTCACTAGACGACGGTTGGCTACTGCTAGGGTTAAAACATGGACATTTGAAATGCATGTGTTGGAGTGGTTGGGGAGGAAAGTAGAATACCTGAAGCTTTTAGGCATCAATTGAAGTTAGGAAAATAAAGTTTACCAAGTTAACTTAAAGATCTTCATTTCATATTACAAGTACACAGAAGTTCAGTTATAGCACATGGAATAACTACCTACATAAAATCAGGAAGAGGTTCTTGTTTCTGTGCCTTGTCGTCAATGATTTCTTCAGTCTCACTGACACAATCAGCACCTTCATCAGGGTCATTTATAGCGTTAGTGAAAAAAAACTTAGGTCCATGTCTGAAATCAAATAATTCTTGGTTAATTATCCATCAACAATGTTTAAACAAAAAGTTTTAATCCAACAATTTCTATAAATAAAATTACGGTTTTGTCTGTAATGTATATTAATAACTAGGGTTGCTTTCAGAGAGGTGAAAGCCAGTTGAGCGGAACAAACTTGATTTGATATTTGTATAAGTAACTAAATGTAAAAAAGTCAATAGATTTACTAATGCTGGTTTTATTGATTAAAATTATAATAATTCAGATTTGTTTTTACTACATCTTGTTATTCAGATACCTCTTCCAAAAGTGCATTATGGTAGTTTTGACCAGGAAAATATTACAGTAGTTGGAATCTGGTATTAACATCCAAAAAGGGCATTAAAGTATAAAAAAGAGAAAGGAAATTTAACATTCAAATTCAACTGTAGCCTACAACAAAAACATTGGACTTCATTTTTCACCCTTTCAATCGGTTAAAGTAGGCTATATATTTAAGTATAAAAAAAACAGTAACTATTAAAAAAACGAATATTAAAGTATTACAACAGGCGGGGAAATTTGACATTTAAATTCAACTGTGAAACATAAAAATTGGTCTTCATTTCAACCCCTGCAATCGGTTAAACTCAGCTTTCTTTGCTACCTTCCCCACATGCCTAGATTAGATCAGTGTTCAATCTGCGTTTCATTAATAAGTGTAATAACTTACTGCACCGTCGATGTAATTCAACATAATATAACCTGTGATGTATTATCGGATTAAATATCGATTTTGATGCAGTTCGATATATCGCTTATTAAATCCTGATTTCTAACATTGGCTGTTGTTGATCAGCTGGCAACACAAATAGGTTCCAAAGAAAGTAGTCACTGGTCCGTATCCCTCCGCTCCTTGTTTATGCTCCGCGCATTGAGAAAGTAGTTCCGTATATTTTCTCGATTTTCAGTGAATTTCGCGACTTAAAAAATGTTTTAACGGCATTTTCTTGTTTATTAAAATCATAGGAATGGTTTAAAAACGTTTAAAAGAAAAGTCTAGAAAGTTCAGAAATACCGTAATGGTACTCTTGTTTACATTTTTTTTGTAAACAAAAACCTGTCATATGGCTACTTTTGTCCCATAAGCGTAATGTTAAAATTTGGAAATTTTAAGTTCGTTTTAAATTGCATTAGCATTATCTAATTGAAATTTGTTTGTTTAAAAACCATCTCACTATTAGTCTAAGTAATTTTGTTAAGTTTGGCTGAAATGCGTTCAGCCGTTACTGAGTGATGTTTCTCTATTTGTTGCATTGAAGTTGATCCCAATGAGCTACGCTCGCTTCGCTCGCTCCGCTCAATAATAAACTGTGTGCATTGGTAAAGTCAATAGGTATCGATTTGTGTGACCTACTCCAGAAAACAAGAACACAAATCAAGACTGAAATGATTATCCGCCCTTTTAACTAAATCCGTGAAAATATAATAGCTACTAAAACATAGCCTAAACAGTTAGAAAATAAAATAGCTTATACTCAAAAACCCAGTATTGTGCAATAATGGAAAATTTTCTCCTGTTCACTACACAAGTACTTTATCAAATTAGAACATACATTTGTTTGGATAATACTAAATACCACTGACTGACAGATGATCACTATATCTCAAAACTACATAGAATAATAAAATTCTGCATAGGGGGTCCCTGTGTATGGTGTAAATGTGCAATAAGACGGGATTTTACAAAATTCAAATATATCAATATTAATTTCGGACCCGAAGGTCCATCTTCAGTCGGAGTCTAGGTAGACCAAATACAGAGTGCGGCAGAAAGAACTCCCCGATTTCTAAGGTTAGCGGTAGCGAGCAGCGGCGAGGTAGAGTGGTGGGGGTTGTGTCCTTGAATAGATGCGTACGTGCCGTTTCAGTGTACGCAATGGCTTGGTCAGGGCAGCATCGCGCGTTTGTGGTGGAGCAGTTCATTCAAAATGGCGGATCGCCTGTAGCCACTCAACGCGCCTTTCGCGTTCACTTCGCGCTTGGTCGACGGGACCCTGTTCCCGATAAAAAGACTATTTACTCGTGGGTTACCAATTTTCGACAGACTGGTTCTGCTCTGAAACGTAAACCTCAAGGACGACCGAGAACTGTTACCGGCCTAGAAAATGTTGCTGCTGTTCGTAAATGATATAAATAAATGGCATTTTATTTAAAACACATCGATAATTTTAAATTATCGATTATTAAAACGACATTTTATTTAAAGCACTATAATTTTATATTTTTTTAAATGGCATAATGTGTGTTTTTGGTTAATAGCAATAAAAATGTCATATCTTACTTGGTTTTGTTTTTATTAGCTTTCCTAATAGGGGAGTCAGGGTGGCTAGTGAAATCACATTGAAAAATTCCCTGACTTTTCCCTGACAATTCCATGATTTTTGCTGAGGAGCAGCGTTAGGCCTACCTCTTCCAACACCTCTCCTGTTACCCATAGGCCTACGCCTTACCATGCGACCTCTTACACCCCTACCACCAAAAAGCCTAGTCTGTTGTATAGGCCTAGGTTCATCTACCTCTGAGTCAGAGGTTAGGCCTAAGTCAGGACGATCACCTCGGATTTCATCGCATAACCATAGAAACACCAAAGCACTAAACTTCAGAACAACAATAAAAGCTGTCTGAATTATTATTTGTCTGAATTGATTTTCAGTTAAATATATTTTAATAACATTAGGTTTAACGAGTACCTAGGTTTGCTGCTACAAGGAAACTAATAAAGTGTGTTTTTGAGTAAAATATTGATAGCTTAGTACAAAATAAATAAATTTGCCAAGTTTGATCAAAATATATTCATAAACAAGCAAACTACAACAATTGACAATATTCTCCATAAGAATAACATGGGAATTTTAAATTTACGATTTTTTTAATTTTCTCCGTTACTAATAATCGAACAAAAATACTTTTATATACTAAATTATTTGTTTTTTTAAGCTCTTTAAAAAGGTCTAAAGAGAAATTGGGAAATTTTGTGTTTTGAGGGTCAAAAGTGAGAAAAACCAATTTTTACCCCATAAAACCCCCCGTAAAGCCCCGTTCCCATGGTCCGATCGTGCTGGTTCGCGAACTCATTCAAGTTTATCCCGCTTTACACCTTTAAACCAAATTTCATCAAAATCGGACAAAAATTACTCAAGTTATCGCGTTCACGGACGTATATATATATATAAGTCTATATATATATATATATATATATACATATATAAAAATTTGAACGAATAGTGTTTTTGGCCTCTGGGGACATCAAAATGAAAAAGTAAATCGGTCCCGGGTCTAGGTCTTACCGTGCCACCTACGGTAATAGCTACTTCCCTAAACTACGCAGTAAAACACAAATCAAGAAATTAACCCTAAAATAATAGAAACACAATTTTATCGACACTAGCGCACAGTGGTACCGTACATGAACTAGACACTAAAAACGAGCCTTAAAATTAACTATGGGATGAGAAGTCTATTGTGTTGGTTAGTCTATGGCAGAAGGTAACATGAACTTAACAGGGTGCTGTGAAAGTCATAAGAAGGTAGTGAGTGAAAATTTAAAAACGTACGTTTTCAGGAAAAGCACTTTGCAAAATTTTTTCCCCTTTTTTCAAAACTTTTATTATTATTTTTATTTCATTAACATTTTAAGTTTCATAAAATGTCGATGGTAACGCAATATCTTTGGTACTTTTTTTTTAAAAGAGCATCTTTAGTGGAAAAACACAAAATCCTGTCACGACCATAACAGACGTTTAAATGAATATTAAAAATAGTTAATAATATTTTTATAACTATGTTTTGCTATAAACTAATTTACTTTTATGACCATTATACATTAAAAAAATCACTGAGCTTTTGGTATATTTGGTCTTTCTAGAAAAAAATAAAAAAACTCAAAAAATTGAAAAAAAGCCAATAAAATCTTTTTAAGTTTGTATAACTCCGAAAAAACTTACCTGAGACCCGAAAAATCGCTATGTTTGTATAAAGGTGTGCTTCTTTTGTGTATAAAACATTGAAATATGACGATATTTTAACTTTTGAAATTTTTATGATAGAAATCATAAACGTGATGGTCAGGGACAAGCGGTACGGTCGTGAATTTTCTGAAATAATCTAAATCTTTCTAAACAATCCTTCAATTATACTGTTAGTTATAATAAAAATAAGTGTTTCAATTGAACTAAACTGTTCAAATTACAATTATATTAAAGTTATTGTCACGACCAAACACACTATAATCCATAAGGCTGGATTGGTCGTGAAAAAACCCGCGATGGTCGTGAAACTTTGGTCGTGAAATTACGTGTTATTTGGCTCTGTTCTGGCGGTAGCCCTGCACCTCATGTTCGAGGATACAAAGTGAACTTCTAGGTTAATCTAGCAATTGAAATATCTTATAAACAAAAATTAACACCATGTCTACTTCATCGAATGACTACTTACGGTCATGGACACACCAAAATTATAAAAAACACAATCTTTCCTTTATTAATCTTGTAATTCCTAATTTCAACTCGAAACGACCGGCACTACAATCCTGACGTACACCCCGAACTAGTCTCTAAAACCAACTGACTCCATCGACGCCAGGCTTGCCACTGTCGTGCTTCAAAGTTGAAAATTTTTTCCAAATGGTCGTGACGCCAAATCGAGGGACAAACTTATTTTGTCATGGTAGTCAGTTTGCAATGACAATAAAATTATAATATGCTCCTTTTTTGTAAGTTTAATAACCATTGATGACAAAAAAATATGGCTTTATATATTTCGGCATGAATAATTAGTCTAAAAACAGCGTGAAAGTTGGAAAATGTACCCTAGGGACACGTCATGGTCGTGAATTTCGAGACTTTAAAAATACGAAAAAAATACCTAGAACCTATTTAAAACCAAATAAATGTGTGTAACATGTTGCCCCCGTCCCAAAAAATATTAAAACACATAATAATAAACTACATATCCAGTATCTACGAAGTAAAAGGCCAGGGACATGAAAACGTACGTTTTTAAATTTTCACTCTAGTATGAATTTAACAGGATGCTGTGAACGCCAGATTAGAATACTGTAAGTTTTTTTTCAGTCCCAAATTCAGGAAGTGGGAATTAATATAGCAGAAAATGTTGTTCCAACAAAGTGCCATAGCTGATGTCAGGTACTTGATGGTATCCTATTGTTATCAAAGAACTGAAAGCTTCACAATTTCTGTTTAGCCTACATAAAATTGTATATAAAGTAATTCAATAGACAGACTTTTGATACTGTATATAGGCCTACCTTTTTCAAAAAAAAGAATTATGTATTTCTGTCTCAGTTATCAAAATTGAAATCAATTTGTTACCTTACCTCTGAAGACTTTTGGGAAATGAGTCATGTTATTGTAAAATTATATAAACGTTTATGGGGAATTTAGGGGGGTAACATTGGAGAGGTTTGAAAAACACTATACAAAAAGATAGCCCAGAGGGGGCCATTCTGATAAGTTGAATATAACATCACTAATAGTACACTACACTACTACTGTAGTACTAATAGTAACACTTTGTAATTAAATTATAACTATTTAAATTTAAAGCGCTCCCTGTTATCAAAAACATTGGGTGGATAAAAAACTAATATGGAACAATATAAGTTTATTGCAAGGCACATTCATGTTAGCTAGCTAAAAAAAGAGACATGTGCAATACTGGTATTGGAAAATTAAATTGACTTGGTGTAATGACTGATAAACGTAAAAGATTATTTTAACTTTTTAAATTCTACCCAATATCTTTAACTGAAATTCCTTAAACAGTAAAAGGCATACAAACTTACCTTCTTTTCTTCTTCTCTTTGGGAGGAGGAGGTGGAGAAGGTGGTTCACTTTTTGTATCAAAATTTTCATCGATGTTCCTGAGACTGTACCTTTGCAATGCATGCATTTTTCGGTTTTTCAATGCACGTCTTCTTTTACCTAAAATGTTAGACCATAGACAGTAGGAGTATACGCGAGAGCGTACGAACAAAGTTTGTCTTCCGTCTTCAGAAAAAAGCCCTAAGAGCAGCCTTCAGAATATCCCGTCGTACTTCTTGCAAGCCTCTCTTCAAGGAATACAATATCCTCACATTTCCATCCATATACATACTCAGTTGTCTATCGTTTTTAAAAAGAAATTATCATCTGTATCAACCACAGTTCCATTCAATGCAGTACACTCTCAGACAAAAAAACAATATTAAGCTACCTAAGCACAGGACAAGTTTCTTTGAGTGACACCTATTTTATAATAGTATCAGGTTTTTCAATGTGTTGCCTGAACCCCTGAAAGTGGAGCAAGACAAAGACAAATTTGGGAGAGCGGTCAAACGCATACTCTTGGAACAAGCTCCCTACACTGTGAAAGATTTTTTAAGTTGCCGATCGAATTAAGATACTGTTCAGTTACGTTTTAGTTCTAACAGCATTTATAATTTAGTTTTATTATATATTAAGATTCTTGTGACGCTATTATACAGTTTTTTTATGTGCAAAAATAAAGATGATTTGATTTTGATTAGTATACTCCATGCATTTTGCCGTGAACAACTGCATCAACACACTCACATGGCAAGGGGGGATTATTGTACTGAAACCACAGACCGGTAGGTGCTGTCATGGCGACATGTACAAACAGCACCCGCGTGACTCACCAGAACCTCACATCCACTCACCGCGGGTTCAAGTGCCATGTATTGTAGGTAGAGAAGTGTAGCAAGACTGATCATTAGTTATTGGTTATTGACTACTTTACTGAATAATCTGAGATATTTGTGTAGGAACTTGTATCGTAATATTAATTGTTGTAGTTTAGTTATCAAATTGTTTTGATGTATTACACCTTACTGAATGTGTACAAACCGATTTTCGGTATTACGTTTTGATATCGATTATTGTATCTATATAAATAAAATTAGAGTTTTGTCTGTACATTGCTCAGAATCATAAAGTTTTAGGTTATTTTTACGTTTTATACATTAAAGAAGCCGAAATAAGTCTCATCTCAATTTCTGTCTGTCTGTCTGTCTGTCTGTCTGCAACACTCAAGATTGCATTTTACGCAATCTTCTCCAGGAAGACGAGAGTACCTACCAAGATCCAAGTCATTTTAATCTATTCACTGGATTGGCGAGAGTGTCTTTAGCCATTAAAATATGGCCTCACTACTTAGTAAATAAAATTACGGACGTTCAAAAATGCAGTTTTGTGCGATTTTTGTCAAGTTTTCGTCCAATTTGTATCACATAATCAATCATCTATGAAATAACGAACAGCTGTTCGGATCAAGATTATTTTTTCTAGCTGTCACTGATATGTTTACAAATGTTGTTTACAAATACCGCAACCATTTCCGATCACATTTTGAAGCTAAATCCTAACCAAGTGAAATTAAAAACGTTTTTCTTACATAACGGATTGAATTAATAACAAGTGGAATAATATAGTGTAACCGGAAATGAAATTAAATAACTAGGCGTCATCCAGGTCAGGAACCAGAGATTCTTTGTGTATAAAATTGTTCTTGAGGTTAGATAACCAGAAAGAAGACCTTGAATCAGTGGCTGGGAAACTTAAATTTATTAATGATCGTCGTCAATAGCTTACAACCACGGTTTCCACTCATTGACGGCGCTTCAATGGTGGTTGTGTAAAGTGTAAAGTAAAAAATCACAACTGCAGTGGGTGATTGTAACAGAGGTTTACGGTTTATGGATGATGCTAAACTCGCTTTTCCAATGTGTCACTTTCTGTTCCTACTCACCGTGTGATGCAATCGCTGGACCATACAGCCAATAGGCCCATAGCCTTGGATACTTACGCCTACCCAATTATTCATAACAACCTTTTTGACGACGATCCTTGATACCGGTACTTTTCCCTAGAATACACTGCCACCCTACTTCAGAAATAAAATTATAAACGTCCAAAAACCCAGTTAGTTATCGTTGGTGTTGCACCTTATTTATACAGTCGTATTCAGTTTAATTGATGTCTTAACTGTATAAGTTTTGCTTTTTCTGTCTGGATTCCAAAATGTTAGTTTATGCTAAGAAAGTGATAACTCATTTAAGTAAAACATTTGTTTAGCAAACCATCGTGAATTGTTTACAATTTACGTTGTTTATGTATCAATAGTTCGTGGCCTATTTTGGTAATTTGTATTATAAATTACCAATCTAAATCGTCTATAGTACTTCATTTCATATAGTAAGCAGTCATTTCGACAGCATTTCAGGTCATCTTCGGTCCAAGCAAATATAAATTGTTATGATAAAATTAGATGACATTGACAAAGATTTCAAATATTAATTTTATATGTACTTTGTTATGCTTAAAACGTAACAAATTCCGTAATTAAGTTCTGTATTTTTGTGTGTATGTCTGTTGGTAACGCATTAATGTCCTTATTTCTTAGTGTCACGAAAAGGACAAGAGCACCTTTGATAATGAAAATGTCAACCCGAATAAAGTGTTAAATGGTGAGGTTGAGGTAGTACTTTAAATACTTTTAACCATTCTGGAAAGTAACTTTCAACTAGGCCTACCTTAGGGCTATGACTCATAGATCTATGTCTCATAGTAGGCCTATAAAGCTTTTTTAGTTTAATCATTGGATTTCACATATGGACCAACATAATCCGGGTGACATTTAATTGCGAAGCATTTGTTTTGGCTCGAAACTGTCAGATACTGTATTTGCGAAGGCGTATATAATAGTTTTGCCAGCATATCTGAAAATATGCAAACCAACTGCTGTTCTTAATATAAGAAGGTTTCAACTGACTACTATAAGATACCCGTGCGTAGAACGGGCACACAGCTAGTTTTTAATAAGACTAGTACGGTAGCCGATGCGCGACCGGAAGATATTAACATACAATACTATTATTTAAATATCAATTTCTTAGTGTCTTGTAGATGACATTTTCAACTATTACATAGGGAAAAATCAAAATTGTAAAAATTTCCGATAAAATATGGGTTTTTCATTTTTTGTTCAAACTTTAGAGCAGATGCGCGACCAGAAGATAACATCCAAAATTGTTAATATTTTTACCCTGTTTTGGTCTTACAATTTAGCAACTGTTCCAAGGTATAACAACTCGAAAAAAATATTAGTGATTTTTTTTACCCACCCTATTGCCGAACCCCTCCCACCCTTCTGTGCAAGTCGAAATATAGCTCCCAAGGTTGCACCCTCCCCTCCCCCCAGTTTTGCCTTTCTAGTGTTTCTATTCAGACTTTTTCTTTAAACAATGAGTTACGCTAGTAATAAATCATGGAAGTCGTAAAGGAATAATATACCCCCGCCGCAGCAAACCTGCAGACTAAGCGAATTTCCATTTGACTGATTGGATTTACACTGAAATGTCTACTTAAAAATATAACATTTATTCTTGATTTAAATATAGAATTAGTTTAACAAGTACTTAGGTTTGCTGCATCAGGGAGGGTAAAACTTTTTTTTTTTGTAAAATGTTAATAGGTAGTGAGAAATAAAAACATTTTCCAAATTTGATCAAAATATGTTCACAAACAAGCAAACTACAACAGTTTACTTATTCTCCATAAGAATAACATGGGAATTTTAAATTTACAATTTTTTGGAATTTTCTCCGTAACTATTAGGCGCATAATAACGCTTCAATATACTAAATTATTTGTTTTTTTAAGCTCTACAAAATGGTTTGGAAAGAAATTGCTAAATTTTATGTTTTTTGGGTCAAAAATAGGAAAAACCTATTTTTACCCCATAAAACCCCCCGTAAACCCCCGTTACCATGGTCCGATCATGCTGGATCGCGAACTCGTTCGAATAAACGTACGTTTACACGTTTGTACCAAATTTCATCCAAATCGGATCATTTTTGCTCGAGTTATCGTGCTGACGGACACATATATATATATATATATATATAAATATATAAATATATATATACAGTAGAACCTCTTTAATCCGAACTAATTGGGACCAGGGGTAGTTCGGACTATTGAATAGTTCGGATTACAGAACATATTGTTGTTTTTACATAACAATAGCTAAAACATGGCTAAAATTGATCAACATTATTTTGGGGAAAGTGAACAAATGTTTTATAAAGTAAAATACAGTGTTTATTTAATACAGTAGTTAAACATGGTGAATAAAACGTACTGTAAATTAAATACAGTATACAATAAAGAACTGCTGTACTGTGTATAGAGTACAGCAATGAGGGGTTCGGATTAGTGGACGTTCGGATTACGGGGGTTCGGATTAAAGAGGTTCTACTGTATATATATATATATATGAATTTGAACGGATGGTGTTTTTGGCCTCTAGGGACCTCAAAACGAAAAAAAAAATCGGTCCCGCGTCCAGGTCTTACCATGAGTACTACGGTAATAGCTTATTCCCTATATGGGAAATTCGCTAAAAGTGATAAAACTTAAATGAGCTAAACTACTGACTCAAAGAGTTCTTGACGGAAGTACTTGACTTGCCCACAACAATTATTGTCGTAAAAAAATATTACTGGTTTTGGGACTGCTAATGGGTTTTTTTTATTACACCATTAACCAAGTAATAAATTCTGTAAATCATAAACAAACATCTGATAAATCTTTTTATGTTCTTCTAACCAACGACAGTGAATTGAAAGTAATTAATTAATATAGGCTGTAAGAACCGTTTCAGTGCTCAGGACTTTTTCGGTGCACCGCAGACCCCTAATTCAAAATCATCATAAATATTTAAAATAATTTAAATCAAGTTGGGTGAAACCAGTATCTTGGTTAGAACTTTAAAATGAAGAAAAAACAGATCATAGATAGTTATTTTACCTATAAAAAGAAAGTAGGCCTATTGTAACATATTTTTTGTCTGGAATAAATGATTTTTGATTTGATTTGATTTTGATTTTGTTAGAAAACCAAGTCAATGTGTTAATTTGATTGGTTACCTACCAATTCTGTCATCAGCTTGCTCTGATTCTTCCCCATTACTTACTCTGGTGAGAGCTTTCCACAGAGTAGTGCTAAAGTCTTCCTCTACCATTTCTAGACTGAGGTTCAGGTGTGGCACTACAAGAAAAAAAAACAATTTTAAGGACAGTATACATAATTGAGATCAAAATTTTCCCTGTAGATTTTTTGGAATAATAATTTATTTACTTTATACCCAGTATAGTGACTGGAAAATTGGGTACCGGAAAGTGCATATAAGCGAGTCAGTTGACCACAAACCACAAGTTCTATTTCGTAATAAATACTATATTGGTGATTTGTATGTAGGTGTAAACATTTCAAACCGATTTATTTGTATTTTTAGTGTTCATTGGCTGTGTTGTTTTTCCTAACTCTTTATTATGATGCATCTAGTGTTATCACAAACTGGCTGCAATATAGTGAAACTATACCATCCACTAGGTGTAATTTTTCAGCTGTAAAGGATAACACACCTTATATACTATATGCCGTGCCTATGTTGCTTTCACACTTTAGTTTCTGACCCAGTTCCTGTCTAGATAAATGTGTTTACAATTTTCAGTTTGCCAACAAGCAATGCAATGTTGTAAAAAAAAACTTTTTGCAACTGCGGCAATTTTGTCGAAGCCTTAAAAGCGATACAGTGGATCGTCTTCAATGGGTGCATCCAATAAAAAAAAGGCGAGAAGAGTATCGATTGTCTCAAATAATAAAATCTTGCCAGACGTTGTTTTTGCGATGCTATCTTTGTAATAGTCAAAATTGTTATCAATATACAGTTTAGGATTTAATTAGGTTGATTAATATTTCAGTGTAGTCCGGTTTTTCCGGGACATTAGTTTTTATTAAATTACTCTTGACGCCATTCCTGTATCTATGTATTGTACTTAAATGAATAAAGTTATATGAAATTAAATGAAATTTTATCAGGCACTCTATGCGTCTTTATCGCTCCGTTAGTCCGGTTTTTCTGGGACATAGTTTTCCAGCCAGCTAATCTTGTTGGTATCTGACGATTACAGCTCACAAAGGGTTGTCCACAGGGCAGTGTACTTTCACCCCTACTGTGGAACCTTTTGGTGGACAGTCTCTTTTATGTTAACTCACCAGCAAGGGCATCTTTGTCCAAGACTACGCGGATGACAATTTAGCTGATGTCATGAATGTCAACCTACAGCGTGTTAAAGCATGGTGTCTCAGAGAGGGACTCAAATCCCTTTCATCACCAGGAAAAATAGGAGTCTCTTTCCAGGTTGAAAATTGGTACTACTCAGCTGGGAGTGTCAAGTATTTAGGACTGACACTTGACTCCAAGCTGACGTGGAACAACCGCCAGAACAATGCACTGCATAACGTTAAATGGGCGCTCATGACATCCAGGAGATTGGCTGGAACCACTTGAGGAATTAAACCCCACATAGCACTCTGGCTATATGAGGCAGTGGCAAGGCTTCAAATTACCTATGGTTTGGTAGTCTAGTGGACAATGGTGAATCAGGTAACTGTCATGGCCAAATTATAAAAGTATATACCTTCAATAATTTGGAGAATATGCCTTCAAAGGCTTGATTCACTTAAAGTCAATGGTGCCTTCAGGATCAGTCCATCAGCAACTCTAGAAGTTTCTCTAGGGCTGCCACCTCTGGACATCTACATATATAAAAGGCAAAGCCCTCACTGACTCACTGACTCACTATGTATTTGCAACCGTATTTGTGGTATTTGTGGTATTTGTATTTGTGGTTCATAGCAACCGTAACGTGACCTCGTTCTCGCGCATTCCTCTGCCTTTGTATTATTTAATCTGCTTTGAAAGATAAGACTCACTTATGTGCATTGACTATTGAATCAAATAATAACATCACTAATTCTCCCACTTCCCATTTACCTAGGAGGCTGAAATGGGAGCCTACCAGTAGACCGACAAGATACTTGGTTGTCTGGCCACTAGACCGTCTTTTTTAAATAAATAGATAAATACTGAAAACCAGTACGTCGACAAGTTATTTCGTCGTCAGCCCAGTTGACCGGCCTGTAAAATTAAATTATTATATGCGAGAAACAAACTGCTCGGCAATCGACCCGCCCGACTTACAACTTGCTCGTCTTTTAGGTGGGGATAGGGGACAGAGTGGGAGGAGCTAACCGGGATTACCCAGGAGTTTGATGCGCTTCCCATGGTCGAACCACGTCGCTCGAGGCTAGAATTCAGTATTGCCAACCGAAAGTAGCCTAGCTCCGTCGAGAAGTACTACACACGCGGCGTGTTTATACAGTCTGGCGTTTAGTTGACGTTGCCGCACAATTCTAATGGATAGTTTCGTCGTTTCTATAGCAACCGTAACGTGACCTCGTTCTCGCGCATTCCTCTGCCTTTGTATTATTTAATCTGCTTTGAAAGATAAGACTCACTTATGTGCATTGACTATTGAATCAAATAACAATATCATTCGGGGTTTTTGATCGTTTGTTTGGATAAAACTACGTACCGTATATTGTAGAATTAAATTTGTAGTGTGGTAATATGTTATTATGCTATATATATTTAAATCTATATAATTATTACGCTACATGAAAATTTGTCGGTTGAACTCCTCCGCCATTTCTTAACCGATTTTATCCATTGACGTCTCATTGGAAAGAGCGTGTCGCGTAGATTTCCAAACTGGCCTTACATTATTGACAAATTCCCTTGGGTTCTGCCCCAGTGGCTTTGAAAGTCCCCATGTTATCCTTATGAAGAACATAATTGTTTACATTTTGATCAGCTGTATAATTTAATTGCTGTTATTTATTTTTCGATTCAATCAAAAGGCATTGAGTAAATTTATTTACTATTCGAGTTTTAAGCTTTTACACGCACTGAGCTCATTCCAAAGATTATTCGTAGAGTATATGTTTTGGCCTTATTATGGTCAGGTTGTTGTTTTAGAGTAATGCAATAAGAGCCAAAATGGTTGTTCGAGTACAATGTAAAGTTCATTACTAATTCAATGTAAATTCAATCTTTTTGGGACGCTTGTGTATCTGGAACTGAACTGACATTTATTTATAGTTTAGTAATTGGCCTTTGCACTATATGCACTGACCTTCGAGTAATACTATCTCCAATCCTCAGTGTTCCTCCAGTTGTCGGCGTTGAATTTTTGGGGTTACGACGCTCCGAGGTTCAGGCGTGATTTGCCATTGTTGTGGTGGACCGGCGTCACCACTGACGTTATAAATTGATTAGTCTTTCATGCGTAGTCCGTCGTTACTCATACCTTACAAAGAACACGTTCTAAATACCTGCCTAACCACCATCGGTGCCCTCATGAGTGAAATTCAAAAACGTGTGTGTGAGTAAAACTACCGAAAATGCATATATGTACCATGTGGGTTGGCACTACTGGGGTGGTTATGAGAGGTAGAGGAATGCATTAGTTCCGCTTTTAAGTTAATATTTTACCGTATTTTCAGTCGGACATATAACATGTTATGTTGAGTGTACATTACACATAAGTGTACTAAATTATACTGACTGATAGGTGTCGTGCTTCGAGCGCCACGGCTAAATTTGTGGTGAGAGCGCCGAAGCCATAAATCTTGTAAGGATCTGCTCAATGAAGCAGAAGTGACGAGGTTAACACGAGCCTCTGTGGTAGGCCTTATTAAAACTCCGCGCGGTGGTCACTCCCTGCGGCACATGATCAAGTTCGGAGAGCCAGCTGTTATTTATATAGGTTTGGTTAGGTAAGGTTTGGTCAATAGCAAACGTTTATGCTATTATAATTAGGTATAAGAACACTCTAAAAACACTAACTTTTAAAAAGGTTATAAAAGCTTGCATATACGGACACAACTTATCTACAACATGGATAATTTGACGATTATAAGTGTACAGTATACTTGATTAGCGCTGTCAAATCTGTCACAACGTAGCAGGTAGTCCGCGCGGCGCTCGCGCCACGTAAACCGACTGATATTCAGTATTGTTTTTATCATAAATTTGGTCTCACAGACCGACGTAAATAAAGTAAGGTGTAGTAAAAAAGCTAAAAACGTAGCAGTTTTCCTTTTTTATTATTTTTTTGTCAATACAACTGGATGAAATGTTTATTTTTTTACTAAAGCATCTTTGCTAGATATTTCTTACTATGAAAAATCTATAATTGTTTGGTACTGGCTAAGTTCTTCAGTCATGCTATTAAATAAACATGTAAGTGAAAAAAAGCTTTGTTTCCTTCCGAAATTATTTATTTACAAGAAATGCAATGTTTTTATTTTCCCAAAAGATTAGCTGTATATAAATTGTTTTTGATGTATGTACTAAATTTCTAGTTTGCATGAAAAATGTGTATGTAAAAGTTGGTCTCACTGATGGACGTCACCATTTTGACCCGAAAAATCACATCACCATTGGGGGATTAAATAAGCATGAAAAATTTGAATGCAGTTATTATTAACACTATTTTTTTTATTAGTGGAGCGAGCGAAGCTCTTATACTACACTCCTCCTTTTTACAGGAAAGCCATAACTGTCCTATGGGGGAAGGGGTAATTCTTTACTAGTTTTCCACAAGTTGTTTGCGCAAAGCGCGTAGCAAGTAGTCTTCCACTTTTTGTTGTAAACTTTCTTTCATTCTTACCGACTCTCCACGGAAAACCAAAATTTGGTGGAAAACTTGTCTCTCCACTAGTGGATGACAGAAAAAGTCGCTGCATTTTGTAGAAAAAGAAACAAGTTTCCACAACTAGTGATAATAGACAATAGACAAACATTTTTTATTCACACAAACATTGAGAATGGTAATGGTATCAAAATACTGAGTTCAATAAGTTAAAAGTACGAACAAAAATAGGTATAAAAGAGAATAAATAACAAATTTTAAAAAAGAGATTGGAAAAGAGATTAAGACGAAAGATAATTTAGTAAATCAGTATTTAATTACAATCATATATTCCACATCGATTGTACCTTATATACCATTAACTTTGGATAATGCAAGTAAATTTCTCATTTATGTGACCAGATCTAGCATTACTTTAGAAACTGCTCTTACTTTACGAAATCTCAGAAACTAGGCTCTTGTCGTAAGAGAATAAATAACAAATTT